CACACACACACACACACACACACACACAGCATATGGAGATATGTGTGTGTGTGTGTGTGTGTGTGTGTGTGTGTGTGTGTGTGTGTGTGTTTAAATATGTATATCTCCGTTAAAGTGAAATAGCTAGCTAAGTGGTCTAAAGAAACTGATCCAGATTCCAGAATGACTTAATGTTATGCAAGAACCAAAATGAAGATTGCATCTGAGGGGAAGGGAAAGAGCATAAAATTGAGAATCAGGAGACCTGGATTCTAGTCTTAGTTTTACATTGACTTGTCAGATGTACTAGACCAATCACTTAACTGGGCCTCGACTTTTCTATCAATATGGTGGCAGTGCTGGTAGATGATCCTAAATTCCTCTGTCATTTGGACATTCCATAATCATACTTCCAGGTTTGGGTGAGCATCAAGTGGGTTGGGGCCAGAAAGGGGAAAATGTAGGGATGGTTGAGGAGAGGCGCTGCCAGGTTGTCCAAGAGAAATTGGTAGCTGCAGTAGCGGCAAAGAGGAGAGAGAAACCTCCCCAGATTCCATCACCCTGACCTAACTCAACACTTTCAGGCCTGGAAGAATGTTTAAGCTTCCTAAGCGGTCAGATTTCTCTTGTTTCATAAAGTACAGTCCTCTTCATTGTGTATAATGACCCTGAATCCCAAATGACACCCTCTTCAGAGTCAGACCCCTGAGGCTACACTTGAATTAGAAAAACGTAAACTCATTTTGGACAGTTGGCTCTAAAGGCTTTGTCTACTGAAGGTATGCAGTGCTGGCTTAGCTCTACCGATGCATCCCAATTTCAAGGTCAAAAGCCCTAAGTGACGATGACAGTTAATAATCTCAGCTAGTGCTGAGGTTGAATACTAAATTTTAGATTTAAAAGGGATTCTGGCAATCATCTAGTCCAACTTTTCATTTCTAGCTCTGAGAACATGTCTTTCTTTTCTTATTTCCAGTTATTTTAAAAATTCTTTATTAAATAGTTATGTCTATGTATTTCCCTTAAAGTATATTCTAAATTGTAATACATAGCAGAGTCATGTTATTCACTCATTTAATAACTTTCCCAAGTTATTTTAAAAAGTCAAACCCACAGAAAAATGGGGAAACTAGTACCATTGTTCATATACCCTTTACCTAGATTAATCAATTGATAATGGATGGGCATATTTACTTTGTCTCTCCCTATCTCTGTATTTCTATATAAATATACACACATATCATTTTAGTTTGAGTTAGTTGAGAGTAACTTGCAGACATCATGCTACCTCACTCCCAAATACTTCAGCATACATCTTCTAAGAAAAAGGACATTTTTCTATATAATCACAATGCCATTATCACACCTAAGAAATTTATTACTGATAAAATGCCATTATGTAATACACCTTTTACTTTCAACTAATGCCAGATCACTCAATAATATTCTGCATAGCGGATTTTAAGAGAATCCACGATTCAATCAAGGACAATTCATTGCATGAATATGCTGTTTTTCCAGTGATTAAGTGAGAGAAGTAACTCATGTGGAATAGTTTCCTTCTATAGAAGCAACTTGAAGAGTGGGTGTTATTATAATCACTGTATATGTCACCATGAAGTTAACTAACAGGACCTGTAGTCAACAATTTTGTTTTTTAATTGAAGGATAACTTACATACAATAAGGTACACAAAGTGTGTCATAATTTTTACACACCTATGCCTCATGTAAGCAACACACAGATAAAGACGGAGACATGTCTAGTATACCATAAACTTCCATTGTTCCCTTCCTAGTCTATCCTCCCATTCTCAGTAATGATTATTGTAACATTTTCTAATAAGCTATGCCTGTTGTTGATCTTCATATGAATGCAATCATACTCTAAGTACGTGTTTTGCTTGTTTGCTTTTCACTCAACACCTATGAGATTTATTTATAATGTTCCAGGTAATAGCGATTCATTTTTTTTTCAATTGCTAAGTTGTTTTCCATAGTATACATTTACTGTGTTAATAATGAATTTATGTATTATATTATATTATACACTTTACTTATTCATTCTCCTGTTGATGGACATTTGGGTTAGTCTCTGGTTTTGGCTACTATGATTGAAGGTGCCATGAACATTCTTACGTGTAACCTTTGTGGCGATATGCATTCATTTCTCTCAGATCTTTGCCCAGGAGTGAAATTGCTGGTGCAGAGGACACATATGTGTTTAGCGTTAGCATAAAACCGACAGATATTTTTTTCTGAGTAGGATGTGATATTCTGCACTCCTGCCAGCTATGTATGGGAGTTCCAGTTATTCTCTCTTCTTGTCAAGTCTCATTCTTCTCTGTCTTTTAAAATGTTAGGTACTCTAGCAGGTGCGTAGAGGTACCTTATTGTGATTTGAATCTGCATTTTCCTGATAAATAATGATGTTGAACACTTTTTCATAAGCTTTTGGATGTTTTCTTTACTAATTTGCCTGCTCAATACTTTTTGCCCATTTTAAAATAGGATTGTTTGTACTTTTCTTATTGATTTGCAGGAGCTCTTTGTATTCTAGATATGTTTCCTTCAAATGTAAAACAGAAAGGCATTTGACTGGAATTATTTCATGTGTTGGCATAGTGTCTTATCTTGCTCATTTTTAAAAAAGGGAATAATCCAGTGTTAGTCTGGAATAGTTATTCTGCCCATGCAGAAAAGAGATAGGGTGTTTTAATTTAGAAAATTATTTTAGTAACTAGAATAAAGGAAATGTTTGGACAAGCGAAGTGATAGTCCCACAAGTATTTATCTTTGCATAAATAGTCTTCCTTTTGGGCAACTGGACCTTTATATAGAGGCCCTTTGTATTTTGAGATAAGCAGCAGGGTATCTTGGGAACTGGATGATAATTCTATTTTGTGGTAGTCATAACAGGGTGACATCATGGGTTAAAAAATAGATCTTAGTAAAATTCTCCCAAAATATAGACCAGAAATAGAGACTTCACTGTTTTAATCAGAATGGCCAATTTATTGCTAAAGGGGCAGCTGGCATGAACCCAAACTGAAAACATTTTAAGTAAGGATTTTCTTAAGGGCTACATTGATGTGGATAGCTTCATTCTGGCATTATAGATCTTTTGCAAGTGATTTTCATACAACTTAGCCATGCCTGCACACAAGGCTGCTGCCTGAGTTTCTTTTTGACATTCATATTCAGATAACATCTGATTAGCCCAAGGGATGGAAGCAAATTCAGGGTTCATGCCACCGCTTATGGCTGCTTTGCCCATGGGAGACACAGCTGTGGGACTCTTTTCCACTAAGACCAGCCTCAGGCATCCACTGCTACTCAGTCTGAACTGACACTTGAGATAGATTCTACTTGCCATTCTTGAACTGAACTCAGTGGGCAGGTTTGGGAACAGTAAACAAACCACGGAGAATCAGCCTGAAATGTGTCAGATGGAAAGTAGAGATTCATGAGGACCTTATGGGCTGACTGTGAATGTATATACATTTTATCTTAATTTAAAAAAATTCCTGTAGAATGACCATTCTCCTCTTCCCTGAAGACATCTTTCCTGCACTGCCTGGTTGTGCAAACGTGGACCACCTTCCTCCATCCTGGCCAAAGCTGTGCTACATAGAGGTCTCTAGAATCATTTTAGGAAATACCGTCACACTTATTGTGTCTATTCTTATGTTAATTATCTCATTATGTCTTCTTTATTCAGTCTTATCTATTCATTAATACATAGTGTTATTTAATTTTTAATTTTTATTTATTTTAAACATTTTAATTTTTGTGGGTGCATAGTAGGTATATATATTTATAGGGTACATGAGATGCTTTGAAACAGGCATACAATGCATAATAATAACATCATGGAGAATGGGGTGTCTGTCCCCACTAAGCATTTATCCTTTGTGTTACAAACAATCCAGTTATCCTCTTTTAGTTATTTTAAAACGTACAATTAAGTTGGCAATAGTCATGCTGTTGTGCTATCAAATCATAGGTCTCATTTATTCCTTCTTTTTTCTATTTTTTGGTACCCATTAACCATCCTCACCTTCCCCCACTGCCCTACCTCCCTTCCTGGCCTCTGGTAACCATCCTTCTACTCTCTGTGCCCATGTGTTCAGTTGTTTTGATTTTTAGATCCCACCGATAAGTGAGAACATGTGATGCCTGTCTTTCTGTGCCTGGCTTATTTCGCTTAACATAATGATCTTCAGGGCCATCCATGTTATTGCAAATCACCGGATCTCATTCTTTTTTATGGCTGGATAGCACTCCATTGTGTGTATGTATCACGCTTTCTTTACCCATTCATCTGTTGAGGGACACTTAGGCTGCTTCCAAATCTTATCTGTTGTGAACAGTGTTGCAACAAACATGGGAGTGGAGATATCTCTTCTATCTACTGATTTCCTTTCTTTTCAGTATATACCCAGCAGTGAGATTGCTGGATCAAACAGCAGTTCTGTTTTTAATTTTTTGAGGAACCTCCAAACTGTTTTCCATAGTGGTTGTACTAATTTACATTCCCACCAATAGTGCACAAGTATTGCCTTTTCTCCACATCTTCATCAACATTTCTTATGGCCTGCCTTTTGGTTAAAAGCCATTTTAACTGAGATGAGCTGATATCTCATTTTAGTTTTGATTTGCATTTCTCTGATGATCAGTGATTTTGAGCACCTTTTCATATGCCCACTTGCCATTTGTATATCTGCTTTTCTAAAATGTCTATTCAAATCTTTTGCCCATTTTTTGAATGAATTATTAGACTTTTTTTCCTCTAGAGTTGTTTGAGCTCCTGATATATTCTGGCTACCAATCCTTTGTCAGATGGGTAGTTTGTAAATATTTTCTGTCATTCTGTGGGTTGTTTCTTCACTTAGTTGACTGTTTCCTTTGCTGTGCAAAAGCTTTTTACCTTGATGTGATCCTATTTGCTTATTTTTGCTTTGGTAGTCTGTGCTTGTAGGGTATTGCTCAAGAAATCTGTGGTCAGACCAATGTCCTGGAGATTTTCCCCGGTACTTTCTTATAGTCATAATGTGATTTTAATTACAACAATTCATTCCACAAATTATTGATTGAACATCGGGCAATATCATGGTGAAGTAAGTTCTTGCCACCCTGGAACATATAGTTGGGTGGCAATAGTTGACAGAGTGTTTTTACACACTTTGCATATAAAACATATGTATACATATATATTTTAAAATATATATACATTGTATGATGCATATGTACACTGTTCACATATCAGCATATTGCATGCATTATGCACTTATATATACATATTTTATATGTGATTTAAATCTCATTAATACTTATTATGCTTTAAGATGGAATTATTATCTCCCTCTTAGAAAAAAAAAAAAAGGCCAGGCACAGTGGCTCATGCCTGTAATCCTAGCACTTTGGGAGGCCGAGGCAGGTGGATCACGAAGTCAGAAGTTCAAGACCAGCCTGGCCAACAGGGTGAAACCCCATTTCTCTAAAAATACAAAAATTTAGCCAGATGTGGTAACTGTAATCCTAGCTACTCAGGAGACGAAGGCATGAGAATCAGTTGAACCCAGGAGGCAGAGGTTGTAGTGAGCAGAGATCGTGCCATTGCACTCCAGCCTGGGTGACAGAGCAAGACTTCATCTCATAAAAAATAAAATAAAATAAAATAAAAAACTGTGGCTCGGGAAATTAAACATTTTACCCCAAGACATGTACAACTAGTAAGTGGTTGACATGAGGCTCAAATGTAGGTTCAAGGTTTGACCCCAAATTATAGCATACATTCAGGCATCCTATACTTCAAACATCATTGTATGACATGTCATCCAACAATGGAGGAGGCCTGGAAGTGTGAGGCAGGCCAGATTCTTTCCAACTCCAAACCTCATTCTATCTGAAGAGAAACCAAAGAGAGGTGTGGTTCCTCACAAATACATTCATACAGAGCCTCGGAGCCTTCAACTTTCCCATTCATTACTCCAAATGGCAACTGGCTAAATACTTTTGACTCTTCCCTCATTGGGACGATAGTGATACCAGTTCATTATCATTTTCCAAGAATAGAGAGGATGAAGGAGCAGCTGTTTATTGTGTTGGAAACTCAAAGCATGGAAGACATTCATACATGACCATCTCTCAAGATATTTAATAATATAACCTCTTGTTTGTAAAGCACATGCAAACTTATAAAGTCTTATCCAAATTATTTCACTTCATATGTACCAGGAATCTCTAAGGTAGTCATTCTTATCGTTTTAGTGATGGGAACTGAGCCTTAGAGAGGGTAAGTGGCTTGCCCAAGTGTGGGAACCAAGGAAGCAATAGAGCTGTCTGGGCGTGGTGGCTCACACCTGTAACACCAGCAGTCTGGGAGGCCGAGGCACTTGAGGTTAGGAGTTCAACAGCCTGGCCAACATTGTGAAACCCTGTCTCTACTGGAAAAAAAAAGCACAAAAATTAGCTGGGTGTGGTTATGCGCACCTGTAACCCCAGCTACCTGGGAGGCTGAGGTGGGAGAATTGCTTGAACCCAAGAGGCGGAGGTTGCAGTGAGCCAAGATCATGCCATTTCACTCCAGCCAGAGCGACAGAGAGAGGCCCTGTCTAAACAAAAAGAAAAAGAGAGAGAACACTTGAGCTATATCACTGAAGATTCAGCCAGCCATCTCAGCAGTGTTACTAGAGCTTATAAGTGCAGGCAATTTTGGGGTAAAACCAGCTCTTATTTATACCCATCTTCAGTGAGTCAGATTAATTGGTTTGCAGACCATATTTTGGAAAGCACTAGGAAAACAACTTTCTACATTTTGACTTTAGGATATTTAATTCTTTCTCCAATTCTGACTAACCCTCCAAGAATTAAAATGTTCTAAAACCCTTAAAAATAAAAACCCTTCCAACCAAACACCAATAATTATCATTTGTATATTTTTTCTCCTCAAAATAGTCAGTTAAACATGTAAAAATAAATGAAGACCTCAAAAAAGAAAGAAAAAAAAGAACTGTAAGATCATGTGTAAGATGTAGTTTCAGAAGCAAGATCTGCCGGCAGTTCTTACACATAGTGGGGGTGAGAATGTTTCTGAGAGGTGGCTCCTTTGTGGTTCTTGGTGATGTGAACCAGGCATGAAAAGGGAGGTGCAGGGGAAATTATAGCAGGAAAGGGTTTGGGTGGGGATGAAGTAGACAGTAAGAAGGATTGGTTGCTCTTCTCAATGAGGTGTGACAGCTGCTAGCACTTGGCAGTTTGGGAAATGATCTTCTTTTCTATTATTTTAATGAACATCCCTGTGTGCTCTGTATCAGGAGCCAAGGAAAGTACCTGATGATGTAATTGCCATGGAGAAGGAAAGATAACCATACTGAAGACAATTAAAGAACTATATGAGGAAATATACGACAAAGTTCCGGGATGTGTGGCATAATCAGTGAGAAAAGTGGGAGGGGCCCCTGAGATCAGGGTGGGTCTTTGCAGTTTGGGAAGCCTCATCTATGAGGTGTGCAAACTGAGCCTTGAAGGATGGGGAGAGGTTAGGCAAAGGGAGAAAGAGGAGAGGGCAGAGTTGGGAAAGAGTGTTCCAGAGAGTGGGGTCAGCTTGAGTAAAGAGCCGGGGGTAGAAATGAGAATGACTCCTCAAGAAGTCACTGATTTGAGAGGACTTAGGTTGAAGGAACAAAGATGATGTCACAAGACATTTTTAAAGCCAACCGTAAATAAATATAGGATCTTTCCTATTAGGAAGAAAACACAGTTTGCGAAGAGCCCTGCCCATCTCAGCTCTTTTGGTTGTCATTACAGGGGAGCATGTTCAATACCTGGAAACCCATGTGGGTTGTATTGTTAGAAGATGGAATTGAATTCTACAAGAAGAAAAGTGACAACAGCCCCAAAGGAATGATCCCACTGAAAGGGAGCACTCTGACTAGCCCTTGTCAGGACTTTGGCAAAAGGATGGTGAGTTGACATCATAAGCTACTGTGAACCCCTGTTCAGGCACTCACCTTTTGGTGCAAGCATCACCCTCAATGTGGGTGGTGCTCCTTGGGCTTGTCCCTCTTACCACCACCCACAGCCAACCCTGGCATTTGGGTGTCTCTTGGCCAGAACAGGTTTAGGCCAATGGCCTCTGCTTCATGAGGGGCCCTAGCCCCTTGAAATAAGTCATTCCTAATAGGATGTGCCTTGATTTTCAGTTTGTGTTTAAGATCACTACAACCAAACAGCAGGACCACTTCTTCCAAGCAGCCTTCCTGGAAGAGAGAGATGCCTGGGTTCGGGATATCAAGAAGGCCATTAAATGCATTGAAGGAGGCCAGAAGTTTGCCAGGAAGTCTACCAGGAGGTCCATTCGACTGCCAGAAACCATTGATTTAGGGTGATTTTCTGTGTTTACTTCTCTTTACCCCTTCCTTCTGATAGACACAAACACAGCAGATCCTGCTCTAAGGCTTGCTTTGGCCACCTCTGATGTTGTATCCACTCTGCCAGGTCAGTCTTGGCACTTAGTGTACTAAGATGTTTACCTGGATCTGAAGGAGTGATCCAAAGCTTTCCAGCTGAGGAGAGGAGGCCAATGGAGTACAAATTCCCTCATAAGGGGTCCAGAGAGAGAGAGAGAGAGAGAGAGAGAAACCTCATCATTGCATTTAAAAAGTAGCCATAATAAGTCAATCTTGAAATAAATCTTGAGGATCTTTAGGTAGAAAGGAAAAGGCAGGGACTATTCATCCGAACAAGCAAGGTTTGAAGTTCAATTTCATGCATTGCACCGTCAGGAAGAGCCAGCCAGGGTAAACACCCATCCCGGTGGAAACCATTTTTGCCCTGACCTGGTTTAATGGCCTCTCATGTTGGCTGCTTGGAATTGCAAGTGACAGTTGTAGCCTAAAGGTGGTCAGAGGTCAACAGGTAAATCTAGCTCCTGACAGAGGTTGGGAATGGGGCTTCTTCCTTCCCGAATATTTCACATCTTTGGTCGTATGAACCCCTTTCTAGGAGTACCTTCCTTTTTAGTAGTTTCGCTTTTTTGTTGAGCATTCCCTGAAACAGCAACCCTGTTGAGAAGAATCCCATGTTGGCTGCTTAAAATGTCCAATAAGAATTTTATTTTTATGGGGGGGGTGGGGAGAGGCACTGAGAGGAGCCTAAAGATACCCCTTCTGCACTTCTGCATGACGAACACATGACTTGGCATGGCACAGGAGTTTGACAAAGTTTGTGAACTGAGCTGAGTGAGACTTAGCAGTCCCCCTCACCACAAAAGCTTTTTGGCAAAGAGCTCCGAGGAGGAACCCAGTGTAGCCGCAGCTGCTGACGGGGGCCATCAAGTGACCACGGTCTTGGCCAGGGCTGTCAGAACTAAGTGTGGAGGATGCTCGGACTAGAGGGAGCCACAGGCTACATGGAAGGGGCCTTCTGTTTTGTTGCTTAAAACTTCTCTTGTAAGGCTATCTTTGGTGCATTCTTCAGGGACAAAAATGAGAACTTCTCACTATTTTGCCTTATGTCTCATCTTTTTAGAGATAAGACATATGCTTAGTGGAAGCATTCACTTCCTTAAAGGAAGATGTCTACCACGGATGGTCCCTTGAAGAGCATTAAAGAATTGGGATATGAAGATTGAGGGATATGAAAGGCCTAGAATGTGTAGAAAACAGACCCTGAGAACTTTTCATCTTTGGCCTCTAAAGTGGGGCAACTTTGCATCCCAGGCACCAATAATTAAATCAACGAAAAGCTGAATGAATTTAAGAGAATTTAGGAGACTTTAAGTACCTTCCTGCATTGCTAAACGCTGTGCAGGCTACAGAGTTATGTAGATATGAGTGCTGCCCCTCCCCTACCTATGACCTGATGGAGGAAGATTAAGCTCAGGGGATACCTGGGGTGGGGGAGCTTGTGTTCACTATGCCTTAACCCAGTTTAATGGCCTCTGACATTGGCTGCTTAAAATTTCAGGTGATAGTTGTAGCCTAAAGTTGGTCAGAGGCCAACAGGTAAATCTAACTCCTGACAGAGGTTGGGAATGAAGTTTCTTCCTTCCTGAATATTTCTATCCCAGGCACCATCCTGGCTCTGCAACTTGCTAGCTATAAAATCTTGGGTCAATAGCTTAGCCTCTCTCTGCTTCACTTTCTGTCTATAAAATGGGGACAATCACAGTGCACCTACTTCACAGGCTTGCCATCATGTGTGTAGAGCAGTGCCTGACACACTAAGTGCTATATGGTGTAAGCTCAAGTGCTTATTGTGTTTTAAGGGGTCACATGTCTGTACAACAAATTCCAGGGTTTCAGAAAAGAGAAAGAGCTCAGCGGATGATGGGGTGAATAGGAGGTGGTACCCAGGCTCTTCAAGGTGACAACTCCCAGAGAGAACTTACCATTCTGAAATGTTCCCCACTCATCCAACTGTTTTTTTTTTTTTTGAAATTTCTGTGCAGTGCCTTATATTTGTCCATGAAAGACACTGAAAAAGGAATAAAAGAACTGAACCTAGAGAAGGACAAGAAGATTTTTAATCACTGCTTCACAGGTAAAAGCACTTGCCGGCCTGAAATAGGGCAACTGGGAAGGCGATATGGAGTCCTCGTTTAGCTTCATGTGTGAGGTGGGGGTGTAAAGTGTAGGGGTTGGAAAGGGTCCCAGAATGCAGCCTGATGAGCCTGAGAATGGAGCTTCTGCAGAGTGAAAATAGAAAGAACTTTGTTGTTCAAGCTAATGTTTTTGTTCAAGCCCTGTTTGTTCAAGTTAACGTCGGTTCAAGTTAACATTCCAATCAAAGGATTTTTTTTTCTCAATAAATGGCATTATGTTGAGAGTTGCTAGAAATAGATACAGAATTGGATAAGATGCAACCCTTACTATGATAAACAGGCATCAAGGCATATAATGTAAGATTTAAATGACAATAGTAGAGATATCAGAGCTGCACAGGGTCAGGTATTAAGTGTTATGAATTTAGGTAGTATGGTGTAGTAGTTAAAAACATGTTCTTTAGAGACAGACTACCTTGGTTCAAATCCTGGCTTTGCAACTTAACTGGCTATAAAGCCTTGGGTCAATAACTCAGGCTCTCTGTGCTTCACTTGCTCTGTCTATAAAGTGGGGATAATCACAGTGCACCTACTTCACAGGCTTGCCATCATGTGTGTGGAACAGTGCCTGGCACACGTATGGTGCAAGCTCAAGTGATTACTGTGTTTTAAGGGGTCACATGTCTGTACAACCAATTCCAGGGGTCCAGAAAAGAGAAAGAGCTCAGGGTTGATGGGGTGAATAGGAGGTGGTACCAAGATTTGACCCTGAAAGATGGGTAGAATTTCATTAAGTATTTATGGGGAAAATTTTTGATGAGGCGGCAGGACAGAGGATGGGCAGAGGTGGTGAGGACAAAGTTATGGGGCAGTCATGCACAGAATATGCATCTAGAAAAAGAAACTGGCCAGCCTGGTAGGGCGGATGGTTCCTCAGGAGGAACAAAATGGGATGTACAATTTAGTGCTAAGTTTGTCAGATGCACACCATGGCTTTCTTATGGTAACAAGAGAGAACAAAGGAAGAAAACACTAAGATAATACAACAGATGTGGAATTTAAGACATTGTGCTGTCAACAGATAATCCATAAAATCGATCTAGGTCAGGATCGGCAAGGCTAAGGGAAAAAGGCTATGATCAGTGGCGATGAGGTAGTCCCCTGTGGGAATGAGCCTCAGAGAGTCAAGGCAGCCGCCCATGAGTATCAGACAAAGCAAGGGTGAGATTTGGGATCAAGACACTAGGCTGTGGGCGGTGTTATGAGAAACTGACAACCTAACTCTAGCAGGACTGAGGTCGCTACAACAGCCTCGGGCAAAGGGAAGAGGAGGGGGTTTCCAGGTAGGCTTGGGCACAAGATCCAGGTCAGACTGATTTCTGTGTAATATGTTACTGAGTCCCAGAGTATTGGGGTGGTACTTCTTCCTTTTTTTTTTTTTTTTTTTGNTTGAGATGGAGCTTCGCTTTTGTTCCTCATGCTGGAGTGCAGTGGTGCAATCTCGGCTCACTGCAACCTCCGCCACCCGGGTTCAAGCGATTCCTGTGCCTCAGCCTCCTGAGTAGCTAGGATTACAGACATGTGCCAGCACCCCTGGCTAATTTTTGTAGTTTTAGTAGAGATGGGGTTTCACCATGTTGGCCAGGCTGGTTTCAAACTCTTGAACTCCGGTGATCTGCCCGCCTTGGCCTCTCAGCGTGTCCTGTAATCCCAAAGATTACAGGTGGGCTAGTACCTCTTAAATCCTTCTTGCTGAAGGTCACGGTGGATTCTAGAGATTTCTATGGTAGAGACTTCATGGAGGAGTCAGGTGGCCTCAGCTGGGAGATGAAGGCTGCAGCAGAGACTGGGACCCAGCAGTACTGACACATGATGGAGGACCTTAAAAGTCTGATGACTGGGAGATTAGACCAAACTTGTCTTTCAATCTTCAGTATGCCTCACTGAGTGAGCAGAGATGCAAGGGTTAGAACACTTAAAAGTGATAGCCCAGAGTAGTTGTAACTTTGGCTTAAGGTCACTCAAATTCCCTTAGCCTTAATTTTTTCATCCTTAAAATGAGGACTACAATTACTGCCCTACCTCTTTGAAAAGGTTGCTATGAGGACAAAAAGAAGAAATGCAGTGTCAATTAGTTTATCCGTGTGGAGAAAGAAACGTGAGCACAAGCCTTTCACATATGAAATTCACGGAAGGCTTGCTACTCAATTTCTGTCACTCCTGTTTTGAGGGTGGCATCCCTACTGCTTTTGCCTGAATAACACAGGACAGGCAGGCTGTTGTGTCGACTCCCTTGTTGGCTACATATGTAAGGAACACAATGCTTTTTATTTTTATTATTTTTTAAAATTGACACATAATGGTACATAGTTATGGGACACAGTTAATGTTCTGATATATATATATATATGTTGTGCAATGATCAAATCATGGTAATTAGGGTATCCATCACCTCAAACATTTATTATTTTTTTCTTGTAAGAACAAGCATGTTGTTTTTAATACAAAACTTCCTTGTAACCTGCTAATAATCCAATGTAGGGGTCAATTTCATTTTCTTCTCTTTGCAATCATCTCTTGAGGTGGAAGCATGCTTAAATGACTTCTCAAGGTCCCTGCTAGACTCTGCAAAGGCATGATAATCAGTGCAGGTGATGTCATCAAATTTTAATTTAGGACATATATTTATCACGTTACTTCCTGTTTAAAAACTTGCAATGATTTCCCATTGCCAAATTTCTTACTGTGCCATCAAAGCTCTCCCCACCCACCCTTCACCTTCCTCCTCCTCTTGTTTCCTTTTGCCTTCTTTCCACCAACTCCTTCCCAGCCCCATGGGGTTGCTTTATGCCTGCGTGCATCTGTTCACACTGCTGCCCCCTCAGTCTGTGCTGGTTCCTCTGCATCCTGCCTCACATGCTTGGCAAACACCTACTCGTGTGTTAAGCCTCTGCCCAGTGTCACTTCCTCTATGAATCTTTTCCTGATGGTGCACGCACAGCCCCCTTCCCTTACCTCCTCCACCTCTTTCACACCTTCAGATTTGACCCAGTAGTCTTGAAATTGACTTATATAGCAGAACACTTGTTACAAGGTTTACTTATTACACCCATCATGCCCTTTTACAGTCCCTGAGGGAATTTCTCCAACACCCGGTAGAGCACCCAGCATCTAGTAGGTGCTCAGTAAATGTTTGTTCATTAATGGGATAAGTGAATGGGTTAGTAAAACCCATTTCTTTGATGCACGTGTTGCTTTTTTTCTTTTTTTTTTAAGACAACGACTTTATTTTTTAATTTTTAAAGTTATTATTTTTTGAGATGGAATCTTGCTATGTTGCTCAGGCTGGTCTTGAACTCCTGGGCTCAAGTGATCCTCCTGCCTCGGCTTCCAGAGTAGCTGGGACAAGAGGTGTGCAACCATACCTGGCCATGTGTTGCTTCTTAAGCAGCATGTGGTTGGTCTTAAAAGCCCTTTGCATAGTTTTTTGTTTTGTTTTGTTTTGTTTTGTTTTGTTTTGTTTTTTAAACTGGGTTTCTATCCCATTGATTTTGTTTGATATAACAGGGGAGACAAGACAAGTTAGACCTGTGGGTGCTCTGGAGTCAGTTCAGGGGTGATTGTCAGGGCTTGTTCTTTAGTAGGGAGAGCTAACCTTCCCTGTGCTGATCCCATCTAGGTAACTGCGTCATTGATTGGCTGGTATCCAACCAGTCTGTTAGGAATCGCCAGGAAGGCCTTATGATTGCTTCATCACTGCTCAATGAGGGGTATCTGCAGCCTGCTGGAGATATGTCCAAGAGTGCAGTGGATGGAACCGCTGAACACCCTTTCCTGGACAACCCTGATGCCTTCTACTACTTTGTAAGAAAAGCTACCCATCTCTTCCTCCTGTAAGAAAGGCTGCCCTGAGCAGATTCTAGGTTGATTTCAGTTCATAGACACATATGCAAAATAAAGGCACCAGCCCTACAGGGGCTGTTAGATAGCGGGTAGGGAGGTCAGCTGGGAAGAACAAGGGAATACCTGAAGCTTCCAGGCCCATTTAGGACTTCTGTTATACCAGCGTTTCCCAGCTCAACAGCTGCCCTCTCCACAACGCTTGCCCTGTCCAAATAAATTCGTTATCATAAAAGGATACTACTGTTTACTTGAAAAAAATTTTTACATGGACTTTAAAAAATGTATTGTTTTCTTTATTTTATTTTTATTTTTTTAGACAGAGTCTTGCTCTGTTATCCAAGCTGGAGTGCAGTGGTACCATCTCAGCTCACTGCAACCTCCACCTCCCGGGTTCGAGCAATTCGCCACCATGCCCACCTAATTTTTGTATTTTTAGTAGAGATTGTGTTTCACCATGTTGGTCAGGCTGGTCTTGAGCCTCTGACCTCAAGTGATCCACCTGCCTTGGCTTCCCAACTATCTTATTCTAAGCAATAATTCATTTGTAAAAATGTCTTAGGCCTTAGTCTATGTCAAGCACTCTCTTAGACAGGAGATACAGCCACCTAGACAAGCATGCTGGAGGAACAGGCAAAAATCCCACCCTCCTGGAACTCCCTTTCCAGAGGAGAATCCATAAATCACAGGTGTGATGTGTTAGGTGCATTGTTCCAAATGTACATTAAAATACGTGACTCTCAATATACAATGTGTCCATCGATGCCACTTCCTGTAGTCATCTTGTGTAACTCCCTTGGTATGCTTACCTAGGATTGGGAAACACTATGTTACGCAATGTGAACCTATTCTTAGGCCATGTGAGAAATCCAGGAATGGTGGATTTCTTGGGGGATTTTGGTAGTTTTGTTTCTATTTTGGATCAGAGCACGGAAGTTAGGAAGTTACTTAAGAGAAGCATTCTTCTTATAAACACGAAGTGAACACCCTAGAGAGTTTCATTTCATTTGGGGGGAAGTTCCACAGCCTGTTTTTTTTTTTTTTTTTTTTTTTTTTTTTACTTCCTTTTTTTTTTTTTTTTTTTTTTTTTTTCTTCTTCAGTCCTTTGATCTGGTTGCTTATAGCCATTTCAGTGCAGGAGTCTAAAAATACCAATCACATGGCTTCTCTTCCTTGGTTTGATTCATCATCCACTTTTGCTGAGCAAGTCCAAATTACCTCATAACCTCAGGGGAAGAGGCTGGACACGTGCTCTCAGTTTTCTCCAAGAGGGGGCTCATTGGCAGATGTTGAGCTGGTGATAGTAGCCCTGCTTTCAAGGACGTGACCATGACATCCCAAGAGAAGGAAGGCTTTGAAGGCACACATGTGCCTGGTTAGGAAGATGAAGCTGAAGTTAGAATACAGCCTGGGAGACCCTCCAGAATAAAAGGATATGGACAAGAGCACACATGAGTGGAGACAAGAAAGGAACAGTCCTGAAGAAAGTAAAAGGAGGAAGAGAAACTCGCTCACCAAGGGTGCCCTTTGAAGTTCAGATTGGGATGTACACAGAAATGGAAGGAAAAGGAGGAGGCTGCCCTAGTGGCTGGAAGGGAGGGGGAGATGGAGATGGCACAAGGTGCAAAGTGCCTAAGACTGGTGACGTCAGCTTGCTGTTTGATTTCCCAACAGCCAGACAGTGGATTCTTCTGTGAAGAGAATTCCAGTGATGATGACGTGATTCTGAAAGAAGAATTCAGAGGGGTCATTATCAAGCAGGGATGTTTGCTGAAGCAGGTAAGTGGCCACTACTGCTTCCATCTTGCCTTATCCCTTTTTTTATTTCTAAGTTATCCAATGACATTTGGTTTGTTTTGTTAATAAGCAGAAAATGAAACCCACAAAGTGGAAGATAGATGAATAGCTATGTAGATATCAAAGTGGCTTTAGGTCAGGAAGATTGAGTCAGACAAGGCAGAAGATGCCCCTAGAAGTAGGAAAATGCCTCTTTTATCAATAGCACAGGAAAAAAAAGAGATGTTTCAAGAAAAATATGGCCAGAGGAGATAAATTGTCTAAGAGATGCTATCCAAAAGAAAAAGATGTCTCATGGTAAAACGACTTCCATTTTACCTGTCCCTCCTCCTTTCAAAGTAACCAGGTAAACAGGAACAGGCCATACCCAGAAGAGGAACATAGTATACCACTGAGCACAAAGAAGTGTCATTCCAGTCTGTGGGTAGGGCATGGCAAGACCAAAACCCGGGCATGTGGAGGCCAGTTCACAGGAACAGCAGGTGAAAGTCAAATGCAGACTGAGAGCATAGACAGAGTCCTGGGGGGATGTCCAGGTGTCTACAGGTACAGGCCACCATCAGTCTTGGAGGCAAGGGCTGGGGAGTGCTGAAGAGCTCTAGTCAGTTACCAGGTGCCAAGGCATATGATGCCAACAGGTGAGAGATGGACAGGGGCCGAGATGACTGAGGAAGCCAGGGTCAGCACTTGGTGGAGGAAGTCGCAGGAAGACATGAGAACGTTCAGGGGGAAGCTAGTTGATACTAGCACAAGGCGTCACAGAGGCCAAGGCTGCTTTACAGGGCCAACGTCTTGCCTTCCTGGCTGCACTGTGAATTGTCTGCTCGGTATATAATGGAGAGAATCGGTTGCCATCAGGAGATTTTCATATACTGTCTCTAGGCTCCATGAGACTGGGGGATTTGACTTACTTCATGTTAGGACCCTGAGTATACATCTTAGTGATTAATGGAATGGGCAAGGAAGGAAGAACCAGAGAAGAGCCTATATTTACATTTACAAAGAGGGACTTTGGGCTGTGCTAGCTGAGAGTAGGTATAGGTATGGATCTTGAGTTTCACTGGGGGGAAGTGGGACATTAGAATGGAAAACTTACCTTCACATCAGGTTTTAAGAGAACACTGTCCTAAGAAATACATGGCAAGGATTTATAAAGAATTCATGGACTATTATAATACCTTTTTATATAGGGTGACCAGCTGGTTAGATTAAAGGAAAGGCTTAGGGCATGGCCAGCCTTATCCAGGGGAGGCTCGGGCATTTGCTCATGGACAGAGTTTGCCCGCTGCTGCTTTCTTGTTGGTTCTGCCAAACATTCCTATGATCCTGGCTCTTCAGTTGCAGGTGCTAGAATGTGGCCGTTAAGACAAGAAGAGTAACTTGGGAGGGAATTTTCTTATTTTGTTGGTTTTTTCCATAATTCTATCTGTTTATCAGCTGTTTCTTGAATTAGTTGATTGGACAAGCCCTAGTCTAGAATGGAGCTCTTGGAAAGCCAAGGACGAAGGTTAACAAAGGGTAAAGTTGGGACTGGACTGGAGTCATGTCTCAGTGAAGCAGCCCAGTAGGAGACCTGGGATGGCCAAAAATTGTGTGTGGTAATGGGTGCCTGGGTGTATTTTGAATACAATAGGGACAAGGATTGAACTTACTTATGTGTTTTCCTTTTCTGGCCTTGATAGGTACAATTTAGCCTTAGCTAGCTCAGTTGGTGCACATTTGAATCTCCCAGGGAACTGTTAAAACTGCACGCCAGGCCAATTAAACAGAGTCTCTGGATTTTTTACAGTTCCCAAGTGATTCTGACATGCAGCCAAGGCTGAGAACCACTGAGCCAGCCTTTTTCTTAAGAGCTAATTTATTCTATTATCAATATACAGTTAAATAGACTTTCTTAGAAGCTTCCTTTTTATGTGAAGAAAACAGAAATTTATGTGCATTCAGGAATTTTGTTCTTTTATAATATTCTTTCCTCTGAACTTTTATTTTTTCAGGGGGTGGTGAGCAAAAACCCCTTTAATTTGAATTGACACTTCCCCTTAATGTTTCTAATCTCTTAGTTTAGGGGTTAGTAACTGTGGTTTACATCAAAATCACCCAAGGGAATTTTAAGAATTTTAAAAACTTTTTCTTAAAGTTCTAAAAGTAAACCTCCCTTGTGTCCACTGCTGGGAGATAGCCAGGATTAACCTCATAGAGGGCTTATTATAATGAAGAAGGACACTTGTGCTCCACACCTCACAGATGAGAAGTAGCTGTGGCCAATTGGAGGCCATCACCCCAACCCTATTATTTCCACTTTTCTCATCCCAGGAGAAATAATCCTACTTGGCAGCAAGTTTTAGGATGAATGATCTTGGATTATATTCAATATGATCCCTTTTTATGTAATTCTTTCTGTTATGGCGATGAATAAAGTATTTGCTTGTTTAATTCTCAACCACATGTAGATTTCCTGAGGGAGAGGGACATTGTGTTATAAATGTTTCTCTTGTATCTGCTGCAGAGTTCAGCATCCTTCTTGATCTGTAATAGGCAATGAACACTTGTGGAGCTAATTAAGTCAAATATAAGTAGATGGCTTTGACAGTTCAGCAACAATTCTTGGAAACCTGAGGCATGCATATATTTCTTAATATTCCTTAGAAAATACTCATTAAGTGAGAGGTGACCAGACATGTATCTACTAACATTCAATGCGTCAACATGCCACATTGTGATGTCATGGAGAGCTTAACGGGAATGTGATGGTTGAGCAGCATTGGTTGATTTCACATCCTCTTGTTACCTTCCTCTTCCATTGACTCATAATAAGTTGGTGACTGTCCAGCAATTACATAAGACAGCATGAAATGTGGTCCTGTCAGTGAAGAGGAAATGGTGAGGGGGGGGCAACTTGAGTGTTGTTATTTTGAAGGGCAACATCAGTTAAGGCGAAGAGCAGGAATGTACACTTTTGGAAGTCTATGCTTTGCAAAAGCCATTTTGGATATGATACAGCAGGTAGAAATATTTTCTGTCCTTCCATATGATTCTACGGGGGTTCCAGCTCCATCCTTCAGGAAGTAGAAAGTTCTTTGGAAATGAGTTTCTTCACCAAATGTTTAGCCAAAAAACTTAGGCCCATTTCTGAAAGCTTTCTTGAAATTCCTCTGGATTTATGAAGGAGGCACTGTTTGCTAAAACCACACATGTTTTATTACTTTCAGCACAAGTACAATGAAAAATGTTGGAAAATTTGTATACATGCTTGCCAATATGTGGTGCTTTAGAAATTACAAATAATGTTTCTTTTATTGGCAAGATAGAAACTACATATCTTTTAATCTAATATTATTTTTGGCTTCTGGAGTTAAGTCATTTGAATTCCCCATGGGAAATCATAGAGTCAGGTTTACCATGACATTTTAAAATCTGCTACATTAATGGAAATAACTTGGTAGCTCATGGCAAGTACAGATATGAAGCAGCTGCTATGTGCCAGGCACTGTGGTGCTGGGAAGCAAAGACAAGCAAGACACAAATCCCACCCTTAAAACTAGACAATGTCTAGACCAAAAAAGTCTAGACAATGTCAGTGTTTAATTCTATTGGGAAAGACCAAGTCATCCCCTTCTTTCTTCTTCTTCCTTCCTCTTTCTTTCTTCCTTTCCTCCTCTTCCTCCTTCTCTGTCACCTCCTCCTCCTCCTTCTCCTCCTTCCTCTTCTTCCTTCTCCCTCATGTCTGTTACAGCAACACACAATTTCATTCCCACTACTGCTATCTAAGATTTAGTTTCTAATAATTTTATACCTGGATTGTTGTAATCTTTCCCTAATAAATTCCTTTTTACTTATCATCTTTTCCCTGGCTTTCCTTTAATCTAGCTGGCTGGTCCATCCTGCACTTTGTCACCATAGTAATCTTCTTAAAATGCAATTGTAATCCTTTCACTTCCTACTCAAAAGCCATCAACAACAAATCATGCCTTTTATTTCTATTAAATCCCTGTCCACTTTCCCACCTTGCCTCTGCCACTCTTCACAAACCCTACATTCTAACCAGACTGGTCTTATTCGTCAACACCTGACTATGTCTCTTGCATCCCCACTTCTGCTCTTGTGTTGTCAATTGTCCTCCCACCCACCTTTGTCCTGCCCATCTAAATCCTGTGTCCTGTATGGATAAGTGCAGTTCATTATGAGGCTTTCTTTGATATCCAAAGCCAACAATTACATATTCCTCATTTAATGCCTTTGAAATCCGTTATTTAAACCAATTATTTGACTTAGGCATTTGCTACTTTATATTTCAACATAGGTCATAAAATCTTTAAAGATCAGGGCATCTTAAGCCTCCTTATTCCCCCTACATTACCTAGTGTAGTACATCCTACTTAGTACTGCCTTATATCACACTAAAGCTGGAAGACAATAATTAGAAATAATTTAATCCGCCTGTTTCATCTAATAACATCCAAATTATTGATTGGCTTTAGCGCTATCTCCCCGACAAAGACCTAGGCTGGGATATTGTTATCCTGGAGTTAGTATTTCAATTTTTCTTTCTTTTCTCAATTCAGCAAAGACTTATTCTGTAGGTATTGTATGTACTGAGTGATGCTGGAAACTCATCGTTCCTTTCTTTTAATGGTGACCCTGGATACAGGGGCATAGGAGGAAAAACTGGAAAGTGAGGAAGTTCATCCTGAGAGAAGACCCTGCCTACCTGCACTACTATGACCCTGCTGGGGTGAGATCCTGTGGTTGATAAATCCATTCAAATAAATAAACGCTGCATTTATAATCTGGGCTTCCTGTCCCTCTTCTCTGCTCTGTTGATATCCCCTTTTTCTCTTTACTGGCCTACTGCTTTTTTTTCCCATTCTCCTCTACCTTTTTCTATCCCCTTTCAATTCAAAGCTCTGAGATCTTGGGCCTCTGAGGTCAGCATAAGCTTAGGGATGGAACAAAATCTCACTATATTATAATTTATTCGGTCAACTCAGCACAATTTTTTTTGTTTTCCCCAATCTGATATTTTCAGGGAAATTCAATCAGTCCATGGCTTAATATGCATAAAGGTAATAATTCCCCATCTAGGTCAACTTGGATGAGGGCATTGTTTAAGTCCAGCAATTTGGGCTGTTAATTGTCAAAGAGAGCTTTTTCCACCATAAAATGAACCTCCCTTAAAGTGTGAAGACAACTCTGGGTTGGGTGCTCAGCCTCTGCTTGCAGCACTGGGCTCTTTGACTCTCCCTTGATGGTTATATTGCTGCATCAGGTGCATGGGACCAAAGAGCTCTGGAAACATGTAGCTCTTCTCTAGTGGGATATGGTGACCTGAGCCTCTCCACCTCCCCTGCCGCTTTTCTTCAGACTCAAGTCCAGATTGACTTGCATTTTCTCATCCAGCCTCCTGGCCCCACTGAAGCTGGGTGTGGAGGATCTGGAAGAACCCTAGATCTGGAAAGAGTTTTCTTTAATCTCCTTCTGCTCTTACTTATTTTGGGGACCCTGATCTATACAAGAGTGAGTCTGGTTTTTTCGCCAACAGGATGAGGTCTATGTATACGCTGTATTTTGGAAATATAATGAAAAACTCCTTTCTTCTTTAGGGAGAAGATCCCCTGGGAGCAATTCACTTGAGAGGCTGTGTGGTGACTTCAGTAGAGAGCAACTCAGATGGTATGATGAATTTCTGTGTGAGAGAGGTGTGTGTGCTCAGACTCCCTTCCCGTACCTGGACCTCCTGGGTCCACATTAATCAATCAATTAATCAGGATAAGCAGGAATAGGTCAGGCATGGTGGCTCACGTCTGTAATCCCAGCATGTTGAGAGGCCAATGTGGGCAGATCACTTGTGGTCAGGAGTTCGAGAGTAGCCTGGCCAACATGGTGAAACCCCGTCTCTACTAAAAATACAAAAATTAACTTGGCTTGGTGCCACATGCCTGTGGATTGCTTGAATTTGGCAGGTTGCAGTGAGCCAAGATTGTGCCGCTGCACTCTAGCCTGAGTGACAGAACAATATCTCAAAAAAAAAAAAAAGCAGAAATGAATTTACTGTCTGAAAACCTTAGAGAAACCAAGAGTTATTTTTTGTCCCCCAACTGTTCTCCAGGCTTTCCAGGCCTTGGGGAGTTGGATGGCTTTTGTGGATGCCTTGAGCAAGTCCATGAGCAATGCTGGGAAAATTCCACTTCACAATGGCTTAGAAGAAGAGCAATGAGGGGGTTGCACTAGAGGACCCCAGACCACAAGGCTGTGATTTAGTACATGGAATAACCACGTGGGTGTAGTTCAACTTCTCAGGTGCTGAGGACAAATGGCATCACTGGGGAGATGTGGTTTTGACATCCCAAACCCTGGTTTTGTCCTGCCATGTTTGGTTTGTAGTATAATCAAGGCTGACAGGAAAACATATGAACTGCAAGTGCCTAGAGTTTTACTATGCCTGAATTTGCCCACCTCCACCCCCACCACCTAGAATTGTACTTTGGTTTTAGGGCAGGACGCATGGTTCATTCTTTATTTGGTTTGCGATGTTTTAAGTCTTGTCACGGTGTTGGCCAGGTTATTGCCTTTTAGTCTTCAGCAGAGCTCTGACTTAGCCCAGGATAAAAAACAGTTCAGACTATACTTGTGTTACTGGTGGTAGGTCTGGCTTTGTGTATGTATTTAAACATATACATATACACATATATTATAAACATAAATCTATATTGATAGAAAGACAGGTAGATAGATACATATCAAGAGCAACCCTCGGTTTTGATTATGAGCGGAGGAATGGTACCCATTAGAAACTATTAGAGGTTATTCATTAAACACTGTTGCTATACAAAGGTGAAAAATTTAGTTTGCCCGTAAACTGTGAAAGAAAATGTTTCTCGAGTGTTTTACCTATTTTTTAAAAAATATATATATATACACACAACTGTACTATGTAGCTACTATATCAATACTATATGTAGAATTATGCAGTGAATTATTCTGTAATCATACATTGTTTGTATGTTTGCAAGCCACATAATTTCCTTGGAACACTAATAAAAGAGATTTCATGGCTTGCACAGGAGGGTAGACCAAGTGGTCTTTCCTGTGAGTGCTGCCATTTCCCTTCTTTTTCCCCAGGCAGGAAGAGTGAGGAAGAGAACCTTTTTGAGATCATCACAGCAGATGAAGTGCACTATTTCTTGCAAGCGGCCACTCCCAAGGAGCGTACAGAGTGGATCAAAGCCATTCAGGTGGCCTCCCGAACTGGGAAGTAAAGACACACCTGCACTCCTCATCCCCTCCTGAGGGAAGCCCATGGACAAGCTCAGCCCAGGACCTGTCCATTTCTGTGACAAATCAACAGGAAAGGGCCCAGGGGTGGGAAGTTTTTGTCTGCAGGGGATTCTGAATGTAACTCGCCGCATGGTGTACAAGGTTCCCCGGTAGCCCCTCTGTCCCTCTCTGTAGCCCCCATGCAGGTAGAACAAGCTGTGCAGCCTCAGCAGGCTGCTCACCCTCTCCTAGGCCTCAGGGCCACTTCTGGAAAATGAAGAAATTCAGCTAGGAGATTCTGGAGGTCCCCCCTAGCTTAAAAAAAAAAAAAAAAAAAAAAAAACTTCCCTGTGATTCTAACACTTGCAGAAGTGAAAGTGTATCTAGTTGTTCTGCTGGTGTCCTTCCTTAGCTAAGTCGTGGCCTTCAGCTGTCTTCAAATGTACCAGAACCTGAGCCAATGTTTCCCTTGTTTGAAATGGTTTCTGATCTGTAGTATAGTACCAGGAAGAAACCTCTTTTGTTTTCTTTATTCATCTTCTACTTGCTCTTGGCCTTCAGATCCTGTAACCAAATGAAGGAGAGCTCTCTCTGTCTTCCTCATCCTACTCAAAAGTGTCCCTAGAGCAGTGGTGGCTTTGAGGGTTTTGCCTTCTATTACTTTTCACAGCCTGGGAAGTTGTATCTTCTGGGAAAGAGACGCGGGGAGGCCAGGAGTAGCTGAGGGTCCTTTCTGTGCCCTGAAGCCACCCAGAGGAGCCCTAGTCCACTCTGGTTTGAGGCTGATCTGAGAGGGTCTCCTTTTGTTCCTTTCTGGAGCATTTCTCTAACATTTATTACAATTAGGAGGGGACCTCCACATTTGTGAGATTTTGTTTCATTTGAGATTTACAGAAAAAAAAAGTGGCCAGATGGGTTCCCCCCCCATGGGTGAGTGTCCTGGGCAACTGTCTGGTGAGTGTGTCTCGCCACAGCTGCAGGAAGTGGAGGTGCTAAACTACCGGCCCTTCCACTTGCTGGGAGGGGTTAATATCACAACTGCACTGAAAGGACTTAGAGCCACACAAAACTTCTGAGAGGAGCTGTTAACATGGAGCAGCACCTTCAGTTCTCCACTTAATGATATTGTGTTTGTGCCTGAGCTTTAAGCACAAGCAGTAGCAGCTCCTGCTTGAGTTCTGAGGGTGTCATGACCCTATGAGTAACCAAAGTGAGCTAACCTAGACTGAAATTGGGAACTTACTTGCAATTTTTGACCCTGACCACTAACTAATGATTCTTTTCCAAAATTGAGAAAGACAGCACCCCTTGAACCAGATATGTATGTGAAAACATATTTTTCCATTCCAGAGTTTTAATTTTAAGGCCCCAGGAAGGAAAGGAGAGTAGAACACTTTTCCTGATTTTATCAACTCCTCTCTTGCCCTCCTTCAATTCCCCTGTAACATCCCTGAGGCTGTTCCTACTCCCAGATTTTTTTTTATCAGTAGCCTAGAGGTAAAGAACTTTTTCTCTGATTTTTTAATAAATTGTCTTTATAGAATATGCACAAGTTTTTCTACACTCAGTGTTAAAATATTTATTAAAAGGAAGTCAACTTAATGTTTTGAAATAAATATATGACTGTGTTTAATGCATTTTTGGTGTGATGACTCTGTTTTGCCTCCCACTGATAACTCTCCCTTCTGACTGGGCACGGTGGCTCATGCCTGTAATCCCAGCACTTAGAGAGGCTGAGGCGGGTGGATCACTTGAGGTCAGGAGTTCGAGATCAGCCTGGCCAACATGATGAAACCCTGTCTCTACTAAAACAAAACAAACCAAAGAAATAAGTCTCCTTTCTTACAGCTCACTTTTATTTTCTGAGGATAACACTACCTTTCTTTTTTCATCATCTCAATAGTTTTATTTTTTTTTTTAATAAAATCTGTTCTAAGGGATAATAAAAATACAGGAAAAGCTTATCTTTACTTTCTTAAGAAAGTAGGCTTAAGAAATAGGAAAATATATGGACAGTCTGTATCACTGATTTTTAATTTACAAGTTCTTGATTACAGTGGTTAGGCAAGAAAAAGAATCCACTAAAGAGATAAAAACTATTAACATTAGGGGAAAATAAGATTCCTACTGAAGGGCTGCCAGGTGTGGTTGAGCAGAATGTGCACTGCAGAAGTCCAGAGGGCAGTATTCACATTGTAGTCTAGGTAACTGTTGTTCCCTGGGGCTTGCATTACGGTTTGCATGTTTGTACACAGTGGCCTGATGAGTATTCAGAGCATCATCAAGGCTTCCTAACATGGACAATTGACTCTTCCTGGTAGAATGAAAGTGTCACTTGTCAAGGTGGATATTTAAAGGATAGGTATAGATGTTTATGTCTGAACCTCTTTGGCTAAGAAATCAAGTTTAGACCCTCTCAGATATAGTACTAGGATAATCCACATGGGTCTGAATCTCAGAGTGACAGACTTTACCCTCAGTGATTTGGAGGAAGGCATACACAAATTTCCAATTGCATTTGAAGAACACTTAAAGCTGAAAAGACAGGGTGGTTAGAGGCTGGCCGTATCGGCTCATGCCTATAATCCCAACACTTTGGGAGGCCGAGGTGGAAGGATCACAAGGTCAGGAGTTCGAGACCAGCCTGACCAACATGGTTAAATCCTTTCTCTACTAAAAATGCAATATTAGCTGGGTATAGTGTTGAGTGCCTCTAATCCCAGCTACTCAGGAGGATGAGGCTTGAACCTGGGAGTCAGAAGTTATAGTAAACTGAGATTGTGCCATTGCACTCTAGCCTGGGTAACAGAGCAACACCATCTCAAAAAAAAAAAAAAAAAAAAGAAAGAAAAGAAAGGGTGTTAGCATTTACTCAGGATTCCAGTTTAAAGAAGAAAGAAAATTATAATCAACTGTGGAGCAATTAATAAAGTATGTGTAAGAGAGGAAAATGTCTTTTGTATCATGTGACTGATAATAAGTCACCTTTGGAACAGATGCTTGGTGCCACAAAGAAAAATCAGCACTGAGACAAAGAAACTCTCAGCAAGGCAATTTTACTTTCTGCAGAAAGGGTGCTCCTGTTAGTCATCTTGCCAAAATATATGGACTGTCTGTATCACTGATTTTTAATTTACAAGATCTTGATTACAAGAGTACAATGAAAAAAGGAAAAGCAGACATACATATCCTTTATCCTTTTGGGTTGTCCTTACTGCTGTGTCTGATCTCCGTTGGTTGGAGCCAGAACTCAGAATCTAAACTAAAACCTGATTGGCTAACAACTTAAAACTTTTCTAAACAGGTAAAAGCAATGGAGAACAAAAAGGAAGTCCAAATAAGGAAGGGGCATAGGCTGTGAGCTGGGACAGGTCTGTGAGCACATCTAGCACAGATATCTTGGTTAAAGTACAAGAACACAGAATGTGCTACATGCCTGTGAGCATGTCTAACACAAATATCTTGTTTAAAGCACAAGGACATGGAATGTACTTATTCCTTTATATCTAACAGCTACATAGGATAAGGCTTAACAAAGAGTCACTAGTAAAAAGCAAGAAGGCTTTGAAGAAAGCCTTTAAAAGAGACTATTATTTCTAACATTTATTATTATTCTTTAATAAGAAAGAAAACTTTGAAGAGGAACTTTTCTACTTCCCACAGTCAGAAAAATAAAGAATTCAATCTGAAAAATTTAATATCCTTTGGGGAAAATAGAAGTAGGAATGTAAGGTGAGAATCTTACACATGGTTAAAAATACAGTACTGAGTTAAGGAGAGATATTAAATGTCTCTTGTAGATACACACAGAAACATACACACATACAGTGGATAAAATTCTACCCACAAAGAATGGTTTAGAAAAGCAGAATGAGGAACTTGCTTGGGTTAAAATAGCAACAGTGAGCCAGATGAGGTGGTATATACTTGTCAGCTACTTGAGAGGCTGAGATAGATGGATCCCTTGAGACCAGAAGTTCAAGGCTGTAGTACGCAACCATTGTGCCTATGAATAGACGCTGCACTCCAGCTTGTGCAACATAGGTAGACCCTATCACTAAAAAACAGACAGACAAACAAAACCCCAGTCTCTTTGTACTTGTTCGTAGCAAGCTAAACAGCGTGTCAACATCATTTCTTTTGGATGTTGTGTAAAGCCTGATACACAGTTCTCATCAGCCTTAGAGTAAAAAGAAAATCACCAAAGTAATTCCTTAATATTTCAGATTTCATTGTGCATTCCGTTCTGAATAAGGAATTTCAGAACTGCAGGGTGTATTGGGAAATGTCATAGAGGAAGGGGTAGAAGAAAGAGAAACAAAGTTATGAGGAAGTTTATTTAGCTGCTTTAAAAAAATAAACTTAGTGTGAAATTATAGCCCTCAGTGGTTTTGGCTCAGTTTCAGGGTAAAGGGAAGGTAAAATTTAGCTGTCACTGAGGGAGAGAAAAGAGGATGCGAGGAGAGGAGAGTTTTTTAACACCACATTTGCAACTTAATTTGAGCTTCAGTAAGTTTCAAGGGGAAAATGCACTGGGCTGTTTATGGGAGGCCAGGTGACAGACTGGGAAAGGCAGTGGTCTTGGAGCCTGGAACCTCAGATTGAATCCCTGGTTTTACTGTATTTGTGACATCTTTTGAGTATCAGCTTCTTTGTCTCTAAATAAAAATAATATTCTTCTGATAGTGTTGTTGTTAGGACTAAGTGAAATAATACCTGTAAGTCACTTGTAAGTCACTAAGCAAGTTCTCGTTTCCTTTCCTCTGACCCCTCTGCTGTAGAAGGCACTAGTGGCAATCTACACTCTAGCAGTGGCTTGCAACTTTTGGTTTATGTCACAATTGCTGGGGGAATTTTTTTATGGAACATATGCCTGAGGCCCAACTTTAGGGATTCTGATTTCCCATGCATGTGTTTGGGTCTATATGCTTGCACTGCTGCTTAAAAAAAACACACACACACTCACACACACACACACAACACATTGGTAATTTTTACCAAAATTAAAGCTAAAAATTACCAATAAATTGCTTGACTCTCCACTGCTTACAGTTCAGACACTGATGCAACAGCCTAGCATTTAAGGCCCTTCACAAACTGACTTCCCTTTCCAGAAGGATTTCTCCTCTGCTCTGCTTTCACTCCAGACATACGGGCCTCTCGATGGTCCTTGGAGGATTATCAGCTTTTGCAACCTTGTCTTGCCTATGTAACCCCATGGCCTAGAACATTCTCTGCTCCAGCTCTCTGTTTCTTTCATTCTTCTTTTTTCTTGAAGGCTGAGCCCTCCCTGTTATTCACTGTACTTTTCCCCACTTCCATGATAGACCCACTGCTACGGAATTTCTCTAGTATCTATTTGCACCAGGCATTTACAAACAGTCACATAACATGTTGTCTGTTTTAGGGTTTGTGTTTTTTGGGGTCAGAAAAGTGTTCGTGCTTCACCATTTCTTCAATCCTTTCTAATACTTAGTTCGGTGCTTGTACATAGTGGTGCACTGTCAACAGCTATTGGAATGAAGTAATTACTGTCATTGTGAGGAGGCTCCTTATACCGGTATCCCGTGTTTTACTGCATGTTCCTTTATTGCACTCCTCAGAGACTGCATTTTTTGCCAATTAAAAGTTTCTGGCAATCCTGCATGGAGTAAGTCTATTGGCGCCATTTTTCCCACAGCATGTGCTCACTTCATGTCTCTGTGGCACATTTGGGTAATTCTGGCAATATTTTAAACGTTTTCATGCTTGTTATGTCTGTTACAGTCATCTGTGATCGGTAATCTTTGAAGTTATTACTGTTATTGTTTTGGGACACTAGGAACCATGCCCATTTAAGTGTGCAATCTTAATCAATAAACAGTGACTGTTCCACTGACTGGCTGCTTCCCTATCTCTCTCCCTTTCCTCGGACCTCACTGTTCTCTGAAACAGAATTTCAAATATTGAAATAAGGACAATTAATAACCCTACAATGGCCTCTAAGTGTTCCAGTGAACGGAAAAGTCACACATCTGTCACCTAAAATCAAACGCTAGAGGTGATTACTCTTAGTGAGGAAGGTGTGCTGTCAGCCGAGACAGGATGAAAGCTAGGATTCTCGTGCCAGGTAGTTAGCCAAGTTGTGAATTCAGAGGAGAAGCTCTGGGAAAATTAAAAGTGTAGTTCCAGTTTACACATTAATGATAAGAAAGTGAAGCAGGCTTTTTGCTGATATGGAGAAAGTTTTAGTGGTCTGGATAGAAAATCAGGCCGGGCACAGTGGCTCATGCGTGTAATCCCAGTATTTTGGGAGGCCAAGGTGGGCTTATGGCCTGAGCTCAGGAGTTTGAGACCAGCCTGGAAAACAAGGCAAAACCCTGTCTCTACCAAAAATACAAAAAAATTAGCTGGCATGGTGGCATGAGTCTGTGGTCCCGGCTACATGGAAGGCTGAGGTGGAAGGATTGCTTCAGCCTGGGAAGTCGAAGCTGCAGTGAGCCAAGATTGTGCCTCTGCACTCCAGCCTGGGTGACAGAGGGAGACCCAGTCTCGAAAAAGAAAATCAAACCAGTCACGATATTCCCTTAAGCTAACGCCTAATCCAGACCAAGGCCCTCAACATCGAGGTAAGACTCTCCACCAGCAAAAAAATTAT